CAGGCCCGCGCTCAATCCACTGAGCTACGCCAGCCAGGGCTATCATATTTTTTATAGTAGCCTGGTAAGCAGCAAGTGTTCCTGAGACTCCTGAGCCACTCTAGCAAATTAATGCAACTCAAGGAGAGCATTGTGGGAACCTCCAATTTGTAGACAGTTGGGGAAAAGCACAGGTGAGAATCCGGACTTGTAATTGGTATCTGAAGTTAGGTAGGAGGGTGGGACTGAGCCCTTAACCTGCGGGGTCTGATCCCTACCTAGCTCAGTGCCAGAATTTATTTAAACTCTTGAACACCCAGTTGATGTCACAGAATTGCTTACTGGTGTGAGGAAAAATCCACACAGCTGGTGTCTGAAGTGTTGTGAGTATGAGTAGTGTGAGAATACAGGGAAAACACAGGAGGAAGATTTGAGTTTTTCCTACACAATTGGTTTTTAGAAAGAAGCGTTCTTAACAGTTACAACTGCAAACAAAAAGCCAACAGAACAACATTCTCAAACTTCTGGAAGAAAAAATAAAGACATTTTTACACATGCAAAGTCCTTAAAGACTTCCCTCCTGTGCACCCTTACTCAAAAAGACACTGGAAACAACAATAAAAAGCTGTGCAGGAAAGGGAAATGATCAAAGGTTAATAACTTGCTCAGCTGTGAAGTCTTTGCATGGCCTCAACAACGTGGACCCCGAGTACAGATCTAACCATAATTATAATACAAATGTGTTAGGAGACCTTTCTCCATGGCTCTCTTAGGTTTCTGCACATCCTGAGTGAGGCACTGGCTGCTCTTCATTCTGGGCCATCTTTTCAAGGATGCTTATATAGTGAACAGCCTTGGAAGACAGAAATGGTATCTCCTTTTGCATAAATCCAGGATACTTACTAGTATGATATAGATAAGGTTTCTCTCTGGAGTAAAATTTAGTCTTGCTAATTTCCCACCGTACGAGATTCAGGTTCCTAAAGTCAAGGTCCCTCTCCTGGAAGGTATGTGCAGGTGTCATCTGGCTTCTTGGCATCACCCTGTGGGAACTGGGTATGGGAACACCAGTAAAGATGCTGATACCCTAGCTATCAATGTTGTTATGTGGAACAACTCTCCTTCCTTCTACTGGCCTCCATACACCTGTGGCAGGCAAACTTCTTAGCTTGAATGCAGCATAAAATCTTAGACCCTCCACAGTTTTTGACAAACTGCCTTTCAAAGGCGGGGACATGAACAGGATACACATGAGTAGTGACTGTCAAAGAAGGAAAAAGAACTACATCTTCAATTTTGGCAGAGAGAAGGTAAATAGATAATGCCTAAGACAGAAAGATCAAAAGTAGCAGTTCAAACATACTCATTTTATTTGAGCCCTGGAGGCAAGTAACAGAATAGTTAGCCAAAAGTGATCAAAGTAGTTGCCTCTGGGGAGGAAAAATGTGGCAAAGTCCTTGAGGAAAGGGAGAATACCCAGAGGATGAGTGGAAGAGACAGGCTCTTCTTTAAAAAAAAAAAAAAATCCTGTACTTTGCACCAACACTGCCAGTGTCTACCTCTGCAAAAGGGATTTAGATTTTCATGTCTTCTTGCTCTGCTTCTGTAAAAGCACTGACAGTGAAATAGCTGAAATTATTATTATTACCATCACAATAGCTATCAGTCACACAGTACTTACTACATCCGGAGCACTGCTCTCTGTATTTTAGATGTATTAACCCTATGACATATTATTCAAATTTTACAGATGGGGAAACTTAAACAAAAAGGGACTTTCCCTTGATAGCACAGAATTCGAACCTAGACAGTCTGGCTCCAGAGCCTGTACTCAGTCCTGAGAATCAAGAGCTACTTACACTACTCAGGACTCTGGTAACAAGTGTCAGAAACCTAACCCAAACTACCTTAAAAAAACAGAAATTTCTTGTGTTGGCTTGTACTCAAGTTGGTTAGAGCATCGTCCCATACACCATGGTTAGATCTATGGTCAGGGCACATACAAGAAACAACCAATGAATGTACAAATAAGCATAACAACTAATCAATGTCTCTCTCTCCCCACCTTCCTCTTTCCAAAAATCAATTAAAAAAATAGAACTTTCTTAACCCACCTAAACAAACTGTATAAAGAAAAAAATACAGAAAGGGGTAATGATTCAGAGTTAAATGAATTAAGGCACTTGAACTCACTGTTTCTGACTTGTCTAAGTTCCTAGGTCTAGATGTTGGCCTTATTAGCTAAGGTTCCTCCAAGTGGCAGGATATATGGCCTTAGAACCTCTAGGGTAATCAACTAACAGGCTATAATTCAAAAAGAAAGACCGCGACAATGAGATACCACTACACACCTATAGAATGGCTAAAATCCAGAACACTGGCACCACCAAATGCTGACAAAGATGTGGAACAACAGGAACTCTCGTTCACTACTGGTGGGAAAACAAAATGGAATAGCCACTTTGGAAGACTGTTTCTTACAAAACTAAAAATAACTTTAGTTTTGTTACTATATGGGTCCTGCAATCATGCTCTTTGCCATTTACCCGAATGAGCTGAAAAAGTATGACCTCAGAAAAATCTACACATGGACATTTATAACAGCTTTATTCATAATTGCTAAAATTCGGAAGCAACCAAGATATCTTTCAATAGGTGATCTTTCACTATACAATGAAACATTAGTCAGTGCTAAAGGAAATGAGCTGTTTAACTCTGAAGTCAGCATATTATAGAGCATGGGCCAAATCTGGCCCCCTGCTTGTTTTGTAAATAAAGTTTTACTAAAACACAAGCATAAAAAAACATAAAAAGAAATTAGCTATAAAGCCATGAAATTACAAGGAGAAACCTTAAATGCATATTGCCAAGTGAAAGGAGCCAATCTGGAATACCTTAAATAAAAATGGAAATTTCTGTATGAAAGGGGTCTGTATGGCTATACTCTATATGATTCCAACTACGTAACATTTTTGGAAAAGGAAATGCTCGCTCTCAGCTCCATGAAATGAATTCAGACAAAAACTCTGCCTCACTGATGGTCGCATGCTCAGCCCAAGAGCCATCCTTGTGGTTAGTCAGAGCGGGACACGCACTGGCCAGGTCTGGGTCACATGCCCATTACTGGGCCTTGGGGCAGGGCAGGAATGGGCACAGCGGGGTGTTCCATTTAGCTCCATGTAGTTCCATTCCTCCCCAGAATCACCTGACTGGAGTAGGGGAGGAAAAGCTCTCCAAGGGGAGGAAGGAACAGAAAAGAGCAGTGCTCTCATCAGAAGCAGGAGAAAGGGGTGCTAGGCAGAAAAAAAACCAAACACAAAAACCCAATAGCTACACCCTCACCTATATTATGTATAAGTTTAACAGATTTTTTGTCTTTAAGAAGGGAAAGGAAATTTTCATTTTCCAGTTTATAAAATGTGGTACAGCTGGGAAAAAGGATTAATGGAGAGAAACTCAGTGAGAAAACAAGGGTTGAGAAGCAGGGGGAAAAGACCAAGAAAGAAGAGAACAAGGGGGCATTAAAAGCCAAAAAATGTGGTCTTTCCTACCATGTATGGGCAAAATTAAATTTATACATTTTATTATTTATTTTTAATTTGTTTTTTATCCTCACTGGAGAACATTTTTACATTGCTTTCATAGAGGAAGGGAGTGAAACACTGATGTGAGAGAGAAGCACTGATCAGTTGCCTCTCATATGCACCCAGACCAGGATCGAACCTGCGATCTTTCGTTATGGGATCATGCTCCCATTTTTTGGTTATGGGACAATGCTCCAACCGACTGAGCTACATCGGTCAGGGCCATTCTTTTTTTTTGGGGGGGGGGTTATTTACTTGTTTTTAGAGAGAGGGGGAGGGGAGAGAGAGGGAGAAACTTCAATATGCAGTTGCCTCTCACGTGCCACTCATCTGGGACCCAGCCCACAACCCAAGCATGTGCCCTGACCAGGAATCAAACCAGTGACTCCTTGGTTCACAGGCCAGTACTCAATCCACTGAGCCACACCAGCCAGGGTACTATTCTTAATTAAATTTTTTTTAAGTTATTGATAGAAAGAGAAACATTGATTTTAGAGAGGAAGGAAGAGGGCGAGAGAAACATCAATTATTGTTCCATTTATTTATGCATTCATTGGTTGCTTCTTTCATGTGCCCTGGCCAGAGATTGAACTCGCAACCTTGGCATATCGGGGCACTGTAACCAGCTGAGCTCTCCAGCTAGGACCTAATTTTATTCTTTAAATAATATTTTTATAGAGAAAGACATAGCCAGTGAGATGGGAGGAGGGTCCTGTGTGAGACTTCCAAGAAGTTACAGTTCCCTGATAAGGATCTTTGCGCCTGCCTGGAATGTAAACCTTAGACCTAGCATACAGCAGCCATCTAGCAAGACTGAAGACAAAAGCCACATACTAAAGAAGGTAGAACAGAAAGACAGAAGGAATCCCACGGCATTGCGGAAGCACCTTACCAGCCCTACATGTCCTACCTCCAGGCTCCTTGGATATGAGAAAAAATACAAACCTTACTTGGTCAAACCACACAGTTAGTTTTCTATTACATGTAGCAGAATACTAATATCTTAAATGATGCAAATAACTAACATCACTTTTATCACTATATATACAAGTTATATATCTGTATTAAAAACACAAACCCTCTCACCATTTCCCACCTAGGAATACCTGTATGTATCTAAGACATCTGAGTAAGGAGGCACTGAATGGCTGTGGGAAGCTGTCTATTTGATATAAGAACTGAAACCGATTTTTTGACTGGCTCGGTAACATTCTCAACTAAATGACTGAGTTAATCTTTATCCCAATTTCTGATTTCTATAAAATTACATGCAATAGCATGGCTTTATTTTGAGAGTATGATTCCTTTCTATGAATTTCTACTATGCTCATTTAATCATTATACATATAATCAGTGCACTTCTAACAGTAACAAATCATAAAACCATATCATCTTCATTAACCTTTAATTTTTAATTTAGGTTTACAATAAAGAAATCGAAAAGAAATATAGATCATTAAAAAAAATACCATAGTTGTCAATTTAAAATTTTAAATGAGGTTCATGTTAAACAAAGCCAAAACACTATATATCCTATAATTACATCTTTAATTGTATATACAAGAACTGTGTGCAAAGTGCTTTTCAAACTATAAAATAAGACTTTGGAATAGGATACAAATAGTTCACCTTTAGAGTTAGTAAGCGCCAACTGCTCATAACAAATCACCACTGCTTCCATTCTTCTTTTTCTTTTTTATTTAACTGCTTACATTCTTAATTTGCATTTTATTCCTTCATATACTAAGAGAAAAGCCACCCTTTTCTGATATTAATTTTTGATATTTTAAGCTGACAATCTAATTTTTTTAAATAATCCCTGATCCACAGGTCTAAACTCTATTTTTTTCCTAAATGGAGGAGTTTTTAAAAACCAATTTCAGTACATCCCCCTAGACAGACACATTTTAATCAAGATGGGATTTAAAAATGAAAAAGATCAAGTTACATGAAAGAAAAAATGTAGAAAAAAGAGTCTTGGGAAAAGCAAAATGTTTCTTAACTTTTTTCTTCAGGCAAATGAAGAACCATCTCCATATAAGAGATGGATCACTCTCTCTGTTGTGGCAAACACTCCGAACACGTGATGCTAAACCAAATGTCACACAAACCCAAAATGCTTAAAACATTCGTTACTAAATCTTTGAACCAGAGATATCTTTAAAGTACAAAGTACACCTAAATGAGCAGGTACACAGGAAAAATAATTCCAAACAAAGCCTTCAAGGATCTAAATTACAGTTTTCCTTTTAGTTTAAACGTGAGAGGTGTGGGAAAGAAACTTAAATTTACATTAGTTGGGTATGCCTTATTCAAAAGGAAGCACATATCCTGCTAGCTTGCAAATCCTTTTAATATCCCCGTGAAATAGGTATCTCGCAAATATTATACCCCAAAGGGAAGTCTGAGGCACTAAGAGGTTAGGAGTCCAGTCTGTGTAGTTCGCCAGTTGCAGAAAAGTAATTTTCATGTGTGTCCTTTTTGACCTTTGTAAAAACAGTGTAAGTTTTTCATTTTGTATTTCAAAGCACCCGATGAAGCAGAAACAAGATATCCTCAGTTAAAGACAAATGATTACAAAGGGGTAAATGTATAGGATTGAATAAAAATCTTATTAATGATCTGCAGGCTCAGAACAAACTTTCAAACCTACTTTAAGCCCATTCTTCATCTTTTTCATCAGCAGGTTATATGTCTAGTCTGAATCATTCGTAAAAACTAAGCCTCAGATATACGGCTCTAGTTTATAATAATATTGCTTGAATGCTAAAGTCAGAGCTGTGAACACCCAACAAAGATTATAGATATCTTCCACTCCCAGGCATGTTAACTTAAGTGACTAAGGAATGCAGTCAATTTAACTTCACTTGAAATTCACTCCTATTTTGCATTCTTTCTCCTATTTAATTTACAAAATGAAAAATGCCCAGTTATAAATCTGATCTCATTATCACAACTGTACCTAAGCAGCTTATTTTTCTCTATGGGAGAAAATCAGGTAAACGTGTTACCAAACAATAATTAATAATTTAATGTCCTTCAAGTTCCAGGGTAGGAGGAATCTATGTACGCTACCTACAACCTAGTTGAGATTGATTATTCAAGTATCAGTAATATTAGTCCTTAAAATGTTATCATTTGTGTAGTGCAAAATACATATGTATATATGTACACAAAACAAACTACTGGACAACAAAAAGAAACGTAATCATCACAAACTAGGATTTTCCTGTGAGCTCCACAATCCATTTCATTCCAAGGTCATCCAAGCCCAGTGGTCTTCTGGAGTAAAATGCCATTTTCTTCAGTTCAGTTTTCTTTAAAAAGAAAGCAAAAACCAATCACCTATGAATAAAAATGCAACCTCATTGTGAAATATACCCCATGCCATAGAACTGTCTAACATAATCATAACATTCAAATTCAAAATAATGCCGTGAAATTACAAATGATCCCTATGAAATCATGTCACTTATAGCTTTATAGGAAAGATCTATCTAATGCTGGTGCTGACATTATCAAAACAGTTTTCACTAAGTCTTGTAAATATACATTCTTCCTCTCATAGCTTCTAAATTCTCATCCTTTTCTAGTTGGCTATTATTACACAATTCAGATTTTTTAGAACTATTTCATAATTTTATCAGAATGGAAAAACTATGAAACAAAAAATCTTTTATTAAGAAACAAGAAATCTTAATAAAACTACAAAATGTTGATAGATGTATAATTTGGACTTTTAAAAACAATTTTATTTATATTTTAGAGAAAGGGGAAGGGAGAGAGAAAGACGGGGAGAGAAACATCAATGTGTGAGAGAAACATGGATTGGCTGCCTCTTGCATGCCTCTAGCTGGGGACGTGGACCACAACCCTGGCATGTGTGCCAACCAGAAATGGAAACAGTAGCCTTTCAGTTTGCAGTCTGGTGCTCAGCCCACTAAGCCACACCAGCCAGGTATGGACTATTCATTTAATCAACATATTTTATGTATCTGATAGTTTCCAGACACTGTGCATGTACTGAGGTTTTAAACATAAATAAGGCAGGCTCTCAGTCCTGAAAAGACCTCTTGGTTTAGTTGAGGGGGATGAGGAGACATAAAAACCAACAATTCAGATACGTATACAGTGACGGTTTTAATGATAGCAGAGTGAATGAGCTATCAGAGAAGGGAGGGCTTGTTAGCACAAGACACAATAATCACATGTGATCTGAGTTCTGGGAAAAGTTTCCCCAGCTGTAAAATTATACCCTCACCAGCCATGAAGATGCCCAAATGGTTGAAACTGCCTCAGTGCAGATTTATTCCTCTCTTCTTTGTAACTACTCTTGTGCAACCCCTTTTGCAGCAGTGCTATTTTAAATAATGGGGTCATTCTTTATGCTGTATAGAAATCTTCTCAGGTACACCTCCTTGGCAGGAGTGACATTTTAAATAAACAGGTCAATTTTCATGTAACTAATGGCTTATACCAGGGGTGTCAAACTCATTTTCACCTGGGGCCACATCAGCCTCACAGTTGCCTAAAAAGGGCCAGATGTAATTTTAGGACTGTATAGATGTAACTACTCCTTTAACAGTTAAACAAGAGCTTGGTGCTGCCTCTAGGAAGAAACAAGGTGCCAGGGTGGATAAAACGCGGTGGAGGGCCAGATTCGTCTGGCAAGCCTTGTGTTTGCCACGTGTGGTTTACACCATATGATCTCACTTATATGCGAAATCTAATGAACAAAATAAACTGACAAACCAGATAAAAACAGAGGCATGGACATGTGGAACACACTGACAGCTGTCAGAGGGGAATGGAAGAGGGGCTGGATGAAAGAAGGTGAAGGGGTTAGCAAAGAACAGGTATGCAGGACCCACAGACACGGACCACAGGGTGGTGGTCTGAACAGAGGCTGGGTGGAGGTGGGAAAGCGGGGTAAAATGGGGGCATCTGTAATAGTATCAACAATAAAAAAAAGTTAAAAAAAGAAAGGAAAACAGGCCCCTGGAGGAATAAAACTGCAGGTGGTTCTAACCGCCTGAGTGAGGTTTTAACAGGATGTTACTAGAAGGTGCCTTGAACAGTAAGCAAAATTTATCAAGAACCCATGTGATGCAGATAACTACGCAAAGTCCTTTACAGATTTATACAACTTGGGTCTATGAACACTAATCTTCTACATTATTCCCTCAAAACAGGGAACCACTGGGTTGGCCAAAAAGCTTGTTTGGTATTTTCCATAAGAAAGCTCTAGTAGTGCTCAGTTGTCTTTAACTTAATTTGGAAAAAATTATTACATTGTATTGTGACACTGTCATGTCATCATGCATTTAAAAAAACGTATCAAAATTGGTTAATTTTTTGTAGACATTTTAATATTGAAGATGGAGGAAGACACCCAACATTTTCAGCAAAGTATGCTTTATCGTTATAAGAAAGGTAAAAACATGCCCTGGCTGGTGTAGCTCAATGGAGTGAGCTCGGGCCTGCAAACTGGACAATTGCAGTTCGATTCCTAGTCGGGGCACATGCCTGGGTTGCAGGCCAGTTCCCAGTGGGGGACACACGAGAGGCAAGCACACATTGATATTTCTCTCCCTCTCTCCTTCCCTTCCCCTCTAAAGATAAATAAATAAAATTTAAAAAAAAAAGGAAGGTAAAAACGCAACTGAAATGCAAAAAAGATTGTGCAGTATATGGAGAAGGTGCTGTAACTAACTGAACGTGTCAAAACTGAACGTGTCAAAACTGACTTGTGAAGTTTAGATTTCTCAATGGATGATGCTCCGTCAGGCAGACCAGCTGAAGTTGACAGTGATCAAATCAAAACCTTAACTGAAAACAATCGAAGTTACATCATGTGGGGAGATAGCTGACATACTCAAAATATCCAAATCAATAAAGTTAATGGTGAAAATGAAAAATGTGTCCTTTTTTTCCTAAGATTTTATTTATTTATCTTTAGAGGGGAAGGGAAGGAGAGAAGGAGAGAAATATCAATGTACGGTTGTCTCTCGTGGGTCCCCCACTGGGAACTGGCCTGCAACCCAGGCATGTGCGCTGACCGGGAATCAAACCGCAGTCCTCTGGTTCACAGGTCTGTGCTCAATACACTGACCTACACCAGCCAGGAAAAAATGTGTCTTTTATTTTACAGAAAAAAACATATGGACTTTTTGGCCAACCCAACAGAATATAAATAAATCACTATCACTATTTTCAGAACTTTAGAATGTTTTTCAGCCTCTTAATAAGATCTGTGTCTTAAAATTAAGAACAAACTGACAGTGATCAGGGGGGAGATGGGAGGGGATAATGGGGGGAAAGGGTGAAGTGTTTTCAGGAACAACCATAAAGGACACAATGACAAAAACAAGCAGGGGGAGGGATCAGCGGACGGAGGTGGACATGGTTGGGGGAGGGGGAGGGGTGGAGGCAAGAGGCAGAAAACTGTACTTAAACAATAATAAAAATTTTTTTAATTACTAAATGGACAGGTGAATGAATGAATAAATCATTAAGTCATAAAAAATACAAATAAGATCTGTCTCTCCTTTAAAAAAATTAACTCACAAAATATAGGGTATGTTGTGATAAGGAAATAAAAATTACAGAAAACAACAAATAAGGGAATAGGAATACAATTCTGCCTTTGCCCTAGTCTGCTGAACTCTATACTCTGGCTGTACTGCTGAAATTCTTTCCCGTCCTCAAAAGTGTGGGCCTGCCTTTTTTAGGCCAGTACCATCTACTCCAGGCTCCATTTGAAGTATGTTTCTCCTCAGATCATCCCCTCCAATTTTTAATGATTATCTCTCTACTAAAAGCTCAGTATTTCCAAGGAAACGGTATGACAGCAAATTTATTAATCTAGGCAGACTGGTAAAGAAAGTAATCAGAAAAAGTAATACATTAAGAGTAGCCTTTTAACCCTGGCTGGGTAGCCCATTTGGTTAGAGCGTCATCCTGATCCACCAAGGTTGCAGGTTCGATCCCTGGTCAGAGCACATACAAGAATCAACCAATGAACACATAAATAAGTGGAACAACAAATCGATGTTTCTGTTTCTCTCTTTCTCCCCTCCCTTCCTCCCTGTCTTTAAAATCATTTTTTTAAAAAAGAGAGTTGTCTTTTGACTTTTACAGGTCTGTTTTCAATATTTAACTCATGGATAATTTTAATAGTAGTACCATAAGGTTAGGTAACTGGGGAGAGGTGGCGGTGTAGGAGACTCTTCAGGGCCTATTTTTGAACAGCTCTGCAGGTGTTGTTCTTCAGATCACATACAGAAAGAATTTTTTAATCCACTGCAGAGTGATGTGAGAAATCTTTTACTTTTAAATTTACATTCTTCTATATTAAAAAAAATCAAGCAATGGACCTTAAGTATTACTTTTAATGTTGAAAAAGTTTTTTAAAGCTTACCACAAATAGCCACTTAGTTACATATGTATAAGACTATCTCAGTGTGTCTGTTTGGGTCAAGATGCATACTTATTAGATGAAATGAAAGCTTTTCCATGTCATGGCACTTCAGTTTGCCATCCTGCCCAGAGTGGGCATTCAACCGTGTCCTCAGCATGTATTTACTGAAAGCCTACTACCTGCCACTCACTGCACTAGGGGATGATGTCCAGGAGTCTCTACTGTGAGTAGGGCAAATTCTCTCCTGCCCATACATTTCCCATCCTCACTGAACTTCTAGCTCTTTCGCTACATCTCTAACAGACCTATCTCCTCTAAACTATACACGCTGTTCTCTAACCTTCTTCCTTTAACACTAGATTCAAAACTGTTAAACCCTGACAGGTTAAATCCTGCCTAAATCCCTTCAAAGCCAAACTTATCTCCAAGTCAAATATAGCTCCTCTCTCTAACCCCAGTTAATCTGTTACATATATAAGCAAACAATAAATAAAAACACTATGTCTCATCCAAATGTAGTTGTGCATTGCTAGTAACGTGCAATTTGAAAGAACTATACACCTAACATACACTGGAAAACTTGATAATGATGCAATAATAAAAAATTAAAAACAGGAGAGAATTTCTTCATTCAGAGACATCTATAAACAATGGAAAGATACTTAGGAGAAATGGTATATATTTCTATTAGTAAGGAACAGTTAAAAAATAATAATTTTAGGCCCTGACCAGTGTGGCTCAGTTGGTTGGATGGGGGTGTGTATGGGATGCAGGGATGACTGTTTTTCTTTCACATCAATGTTTCTCTCCCTCTCCTTCTCCCTTGCTTCCCCCTCACTGTAAAAATAATAGAATATTTTAAAAAATATAAATAAACGGCACTTCCGCCAAGATGGA